GCCTCACCGACCTGATAAACAAATCCGGTAATAACCGTTAACACATCTGTGGTTGACGTAGACTTTTTTTTAACTGTGTGTTGCGTCATTGATGATTTTTTAGGCTTGCCTTACATAGACAAACGCAACTGCATTTATTATATGTTTGATGAAGTTCAGTAGAAATATTTTCAAGTCTCTCTAAATATTGTGCGCTATTTCCCTACCCACTGGATGAACGATCTAGAGCTAATGTTTTACCAGTCATACATACACAACCCCCAGGTTTTGAATTCAGCCGAAACGTTGTAATAAATATGGCGACAAAGATGAGGACAATAGTCCGAATAATATAAATAATGTACATAATACCTCATCTCAGAAATATAGACAGATATTTGTCTTTGGTTCTAAGTTTTTTTTCGTTTGAAATAAAGTTAATTAGATTTATGTTAAGGAATTTTATTTAGTTTTGACTCATCATTTGTTTGTAGATATCGTTAGAGGAAATTGATTTCGTGCCTTCATATTGAAATGCTTTCTTATCTTTTATATAAGAGTTTATTTTGTTCTGGAAAGGTAATTATCGCTATTTCCTCCTCTAAGGTTACAAGGTTTGCAGCTTTTTTAAGCTAATAGGTTTTTTTTTTTAATTTTCATGTTATTTTTTATCTGTTTTTTATGTTTCTATATACGTTTTGAAATGGTTGTGCAGCTTGCAAAGATTTTTGTTGTTAAATGATATTTGTATTTCCAATAATAAAAATACTCGGAAAAATATAGGAAAAAATAAATGAAATATATAAATGAATAAAAAAAATACGTCTCCAGATAAATAATCTTAACCCTTTGAGTCCTGTGTTCCTGAACAATTTTAACCCTTCTGCCTGAGCTCCTGAGTCAAAATTCGCAAATAAATGGTATATAATGTTTCACGATAGATATAAATATAGTTACAAAAAATATAAGCATTATATTTAGCAGGGAGATAGTATGATTGCATGACTTCATTTTATCGCCAGAATTCTTTCTTTGTGTCCGAGTCTAGCCAAATTAGACAACCAATAGCAAAACACGACGCAGGTGTTTACACAGCATACAACAGGTAGCTGGGCATTAAGTCATTTTTTCTCTACCATCGTTCAACCGGTGGCTGGGCATTACGTCTGTTTTCTCTACCACCATTCAACCGGTGGCTGGGCATTATGTCTGTTTTTTCTACCATCGTTCAACCGGTGGCTGGACATTACGTCATTTTTCTCTACCACCGTTCAACCGGTGGCTGGGCATTACGTCATTTTTATCTACCACCGTTCAACCGGTGGCTGGGCATTACGTCATTTTTATATACCACCATCATTTCTGGACCTTAAGTCATTTTTATATACCACCGTTAAAGCGGTGGTCTAGGATCAAAAGGGTAAAACTCGTTTGGATAAATACGACGGTCATTCAATAAATAAGGTGAATTTTTCGGTATAAGAACTTCTAATACAGATAGAAGCTTACTTTTTTATTTTTTATTTTTATTTTTTTTGTTTTACTTCTTTTTCACATGGATTTAATTTCTTTTGCAGATTAAAAAAAAAAACTTTGAGAGTTTTGGCGATTAACAAAAGATGGCCGACCAAGAAGCATGCTCCAGGATTGAACAGCGGTCAGTTATCAAGTTTTTGTTTGCTGAAAGGTGCAAACCAGTTGAAATTCATAGGAGAATGTCAACTGTGTATGGTGCCACATGTTTCAGTAAAAAAATGTCTACAAGTGGGCTAAACTGTTTAAAGAAGGACGGAGCAGTGTTGAGGATGAAGACAGGCCTGGGAGGCCCTAGAAGTGAGGTCTCCTAAGGAGATCGAATCAGTCAATGACCTCATTCAGTCTGACAGAAGAACTACTGTGAACTGCTGAGGCAAGTCAAGAAAAGACATAAAAGAACAAACGCAGGGGTCATCAGTCAGAAGAGTCATCTTGCATCATGACAACACAAGGCCTCACACAGCAGCCCAAACGGTGCAGACCATCAACGAGCTGGGTTGGGAACTGCTCCCTCATCCCCCTTACAGCCCAGACCTTGCCCCTTCAGACTTTCACCTGTTTGGTCCTTTGAAAGCGTTCACTAGAGGCACGAAGTTTAAAAGTAACGATGAAGTCAAAAGTGTTGTGAGCGACTGGCTGAGACATCAGTCCAAAGATTTTTACGCTGAGGGAATACGGAAGCTTGTGCACAGATGGGAAAAGTGTGTGACAGTGCTGGGAGACTACGTTGAAAAAAAAAGAAGAAAAAGTAAGCTTCTATCTGTATTAGAACTCCTTATACCGAAGAATTCACCTTATTTATTGAATGACCCTCGTAAATAGCGTTTGTTGGCTGGGAATTTAGATATCAAACCAAAGTCAGACCCCAACTTGGTCGTCATCAGGATGGCTGATGCCAAACTTAACGAGAGCGCCTCTCAGCGCCTGCTTGGTCTCGCGCTGTCCACTGATCTGAAGTGGAACAACTACATTGAATCTATAGCTTCATCTACGGCAAGGAAAGTTGGTTCTCTGTGTCATCCCAGAAGGATTTTTTGTCGCCTGAGTCTGTCCTTCAAATCTACAAATCAACCATTCGTCCTTGCATGGAATACTGCTGCCATATATGGTCTGGTGCTCCTGCTGTTCATCTCGATGTCCTAGACAAAATCCAGAGACGGATATGCAACGTGGTTGGTCCTGATCTGGCATCCTATCTGCAGTCGCTATCTCACAGACGTGGTGTGCATTCCCTCTGTCTTTTCTACAAGTATTCATGACAACTGCTCCGACAAGCTACTTCCACTGGTTCACAAACTGCATGAATTAAAGAGTGCTACTAGATTGTCATCTCGGTCCCACCGTTTCACTATCGAAACGACTAAATGTAGCCATCTCTTCTACTCCAACAGCTTCTTATCTCGGATCTCCCGTCAGTGGAGCTCCCTTCCTATCACTTGCTACCCTGATAGCTATAATCTTCAAAATGTAATATCAATCGACATTTGACTTTGATCCTTATCTTTATCCTTTTCCCAAACACTCTTTAATTTTACTCTCATTATCTGTAATCCGTTGCGATCTACTGACACTCCCGCCTTGCTTGGGGTGATTTGCCTGAAGAAAAAAAACTGGTAACACATATTGGTTTCACACTTTCCACTGATGAGAAGTGGAACAACTACATTGAATCTATAGCTTCATCTACCGCAAGGAAAGTTGGTTCTCTGTGCCGCACCAGAAGGATTTTTTTCTCGCTTGAGTCCATCTTTCAAATCTACAAATCAACCATTCGTCCTTGCATGGAATACTGCTGTCATATATGGTCTGGTGCTCCTGCTGTTCATCTCGAGGTCCTAGACAAAATCCAGAGACGGATATGCCACGTGGTTGGTCCTGATCTGGCATTCTATCTGCAATCGCTATCTCACAGACGTGGTGTGCCACGTGGTGTTCCGACGCAAACCAGAAACTGTTGCAGAAGTAAAAAAAAATCAAAATCAAAATTGTTGGAATTATCGGGTACCGCAGTATTAGTGAGTCAGCCAAAGTGAGCTGACTCATTTTATAGTTCACCAATAGAAGGGTTAACCAATCACAAGGCACAAAATATTCAATGCGACGTGTATAACGGCATCCATGTTTTTTTTTCGAATATTCACTGCCAACCTCTGATATCGAAGACTGAAGAATTACGGAACAGCTGCTGGTGGTATTGGCGATATAGTCAGATTCAGTAGAGTGTCTGACTCGGGAGTATTAATCTTTAACTTTGTTTTATTGAACAGATTACGTACTGCGCTGTATTCTATATTCATAGACTTGGCGAACATGGTCAGCAAAAATCACTGCGGGTCAAAAACATCGTGTTTACGCTTCAATAAATGATGATGTTTTCTATTTTTGTCTGAACTTTTGGGATGAGAGCTGATTAATTACATTGGTTACAATTGGACTAACGTCCTCATTTTTGTTATCAGAACGTTTCGTCCGTTATACCCTCCGACCTTCTTCAGGTGTCTGTTGATCCTGATAACTTTAATGGAAATACGAACTGAAACATTTATTTAATGCAGTGGTTTCCAACCGATTTTGGGGCATGCCCCCCACTTTGGTATTTCTAAAATTCAGGTGCCCCCTCCCCTGTAATATTTAATTCTTACTTATTCAATTTTTTACTGCAGTTCACGTGAAGGAAGCTTAAAAGACAATTAACTTGGCATATAAACAAACCTCTAAAGACCATGGCGTCCATGAAAGAGAAAAATTAAAAAAACAAAAAGACAGCTAAATATATATATATATATAGTTTCAAAACATATAATAGAGAACTGAAAGGCAGAAATATAAAATATTTGAATGAAAGCTTATTCTGTAATATACGTTAATCATTTTAAACATGAAATAATAACCTAAAATGAAATTTTTTGAGCTCACTCATTCTCGAATTGCCCCCTTATTCTGTTGGTATATTAAGCCGAAGGGTACACATCCTACGCATGCCCCACTAAAATATTGCCACACCCCACCGGTGGGAATAATTGATTTAATTTATGAGAGTCAATTGGGGATAATAGATTTAATTTATGAGATTCAATTGTTTTCATTCGACTATTCATGTCTAGGGGAAATAAGTCGTCTTGTCCTTGGTTTGTACTGATCTGTTATTGCCAGTTCTGGTTCCCTCTGAGTTTGTACTACCCGGCCCAGGGATTGAACTCACAGTGACTATGCCGCCGAATTCAGGAACCAGCGTTTTAATCCTCACGGCCATTGCCCCGTTTGCAACTAAACAGTAGGAAATAAGAACATGACGAGTTATCTTCCTTAGATATGAACACGTAGTTGGAATCCATTGTTTGTTTGATCCTTCAATACCTGGCAGACAACAACGCCATATTGTTTCTGATCGGGGGTTAACTAACTCGCTCGGACATTGTTGTATCTCATCTACAAAATGTCCACTAATGTGCATTGTACGCCAGTCCTTCAATTATAGAGTCATC